TCCCTCTCATCTCCTCCCCAGATGTGTGAAGAACGCGTACTGTGACGACCCGACCCGGGGCCTCTGTGTCTGTGGGGACGCTTACTACGCCACCACCGATGACTGCAGGCCCCGGATCAAACCCGACCTCAACTGCACCGCCAGGGGTCAGTGCGTGCGCGATGCCGAGTGCCTGGCCGGCGTCTGCGAATGCCTGGACGATTTCGTGTCCTGGGAAAATCGTTGCATGCCGAGAATCCTAGTTCCAGAGACGTGTGAAAGTTTCGGACTGTGCGTCGCAAATGCTGAGTGCACGCGAGGTGCTTGCGAGTGCAACCCGGGATATTATGCTCGATCCGGGCGCTGCTTGCCGCTAGTGAACGCCACCGAGCCGTGTTTCGACGGGCCCGGAACGTGCATTGCTAACGCGGAGTGTGTTGGCGGGAGATGCGTCTGCGTTAAAGGGTTCTACGCCAAAGATGGCGGCTGTTTGACTTTGATTGAAGCCGAAAATCCCTGCAATGGGGTTGGTCAGTGTGTTGACAACGCAGAGTGTGTTGGCGGGGTGTGTGAATGCAACATCGGCTTTTTCCCCCAAAATGGCGCTTGTGTTGATTTGATACCCGCGAAGACACGTTGTGACGTCAGCACTGAGGTGTGTGTAGACAACGCGAACTGCACGAAAGGCTTTTGCCAGTGCGGACCGGGCTATTTCGCCAAGAACGGCGTTTGTAACGAGCTGATAGAAGCTAAAAAACCCTGTGATGGCATTGGTCAGTGTATGGCCAACGCTGAATGCATGAGAGGGACTTGCGAGTGTGATCCTGGCTATTTCGCGAGACTCGGAATGTGTGAAGTCATCAAGAACGCTACACAGTCGTGTGAAGGGTTTGTTGGTGAGTGCGTTGCCAACGCGAAATGCGTGATGGGTGAATGCGTGTGTGAGTCCGGCTTCTACGCCAAAAACGGACTGTGTCGTATGGTGAACAACGCTACGCAATTCTGTGACGGTGGTATCGCCGGGGAGTGTACGGCCAACTCGAGGTGCGTCAACGGTCGGTGTCGGTGCGACTCCGGCTTCTACAACCGATACGGACAGTGCGAGAGCTTGATCAAAGCGGAGAAGATGTGCGAGGAGATTGCTGGAGAGTGCGTGCCCAACGCTGTCTGCACGAACGGAGAGTGTGTTTGCGCGGCGGGCTACTACGCCAGGATGGGTTGGTGCGAAATGGTGCGCAACGCCACGCAACCGTGCGAAAACGTCGTCGGTGAATGCGTGGATTCCGCGACGTGTCTTCTGGGGAAATGCACGTGCGACGAGGGTTTTTACAACAAGGACGGTCTGTGTAAGAACATTATCAACGCTACAGAGCCGTGTGATGGCACGCCTAAAGAATGTGTGGCCAACGCACGGTGTGAGCGGCGCTTGTGTACCTGTGTGGACGGGTTCTACCCCAGGAAGGGGAAGTGTGAGCTTCTACTCAAAGTCCCTGACCCCTGTGAAGGCGTTGAGGGTGAGTGCGTCGCCAACGCTGCTTGCGTTGACGCCGCATGCGCGTGCGAGAGAGGCTTCTACGCTAAAAGCGGGTTATGTCACGTGCTGAGAAATGCCTCCCAGCCGTGTGAGAACCTACCCGGCGAGTGCGTGGCTCACGCGCGGTGTCTGTCGGGTACGTGCACGTGTGTGGTCGGCTACTACGACCGTCTGGGTCTGTGTGCCAAGAGAATCAACTCGACCGACGCTTGCGAGAACGTACCCGGGGAGTGTGTGGACTTCTCCACCTGCACCAGCGGCATCTGTCGCTGTGACAACGGACACTACGCCAAAGATGGAGGCTGTCAGGTGCTCATCCCTGCAGAAAACGCGTGCGAGGGCGTGGCTGGTGAGTGCACGGCCAACGCTCAGTGCCAGAGCGGGATTTGTGAATGCTTGCAAGGGTTCTACGCCAGACAGGGGCTTTGCGTGGAAAAAATTCGCGTGAAAAACCCTTGCGAGGGGGTCGCTCAAGAATGCGTGGCCAACTCGCAATGCGTTACCGGGGCGTGCGAATGCGTGCAGGGTTACTTCCCCAAAGACGGATTTTGCAGCGGGCTTATCAACGCCAGCTTGTCGTGCAACGAAGCCGTTGGGGGATGCGTCGCCAACGCGCGGTGCGTCAACTCACAATGCACGTGCGTGGACGATTACTACGCCAAGAACGGGGTGTGTGAGCCCGTGGTCCCTGCCTCCGGGCCGTGTGAGGGGTTGCTGGGTGAGTGCACGGACAACGCTAGGTGTGCACAGGGGGCATGCACGTGCTTGAGCGGTTTTTACCCACGTGAGGGCCTGTGTAGGGAGATACTCAACGCCACGGACGTGTGTGAGAATCTGGCTGGGGAGTGCACGGATAACTCGAACTGTGTGGATGGGGCTTGCACCTGCTTGATGGGATATTATAACAGGTGAGATTGGGATGG